ACCATCGCTAGAAGTGCCCTAGGAGAACACATACACATGCCTGGCATCGCGTTTTCCAATTTTTTCGATGAAAACTCCATTGAAAAAATTGCCAACAAAGCTTCCGTAAAAGTATGGGGATGGTTAACAGGCTTCGGGACATTTAGTGCCGGACTAATTGTGATATTCATGATCGTCAAGACAATCAAATTTATGATAGACACTTTCATCCATGGTTATGCACTTCATCGCGCCTTTAGATGCAGCATATGGCTGATAGGTGCCGTATGGGACTTATTGACCACCTTCTTGCTGCACTTCAAGAATCGAAGCTCCAAAGACTCGGAGACAGATAAAGATGAAGAAACAAAGGATAAGAAAGCGACGGAGGAACCCCAGGCTATCACTCTTGAAAAAATCGAAAACGGACAGAAAATGTACGAAATACCTCGGCCAATGGCACCAATGGAGCAATCGCCACCGGGACTCTACCCCAACCTGCAAGCAACCGGCGAGAAACCCTTCCGGTACGAACACCATAAATCAATAAAAATGGTCGTTTTTGCGTTTTTTCTTCTTCATATTTAATTACCAATGGATTGACCCCCGGAAAAGGAATAATGCTAACCTTATTTTTTTTCGTGTGTGCATGTGAATGAAACATATATAGTTACAAGTATATACATATATATATATAATCCTAAGAAATTACAAAGAGAAAGAAACCCGAAGGGAAAACCCGAAGAAAATCATGGAAGCAATAATCACGCCTGCCCCGTTTAATCACAAAGGGGCCTCCGATAAGGCATAATGGACTCCTGGACTCAGCACCCAGAACAAGCCCACCAGGGCCCAATCCAACCGATACAAAGCAATGCAGGTTTAAGCGCAAGCATGAGTTGGAAGCAATTAGAAGAGACGGTCTGCTGCCAAATGGAAGGGTTCACCGATCTCAAAACACTCCTTTGCGACCAATGCGCCAGCACGGAAATCAACAATCCAATGCTGATAAAAAATTTTCTACACTATGTCTTGCCGTTCTGGAACCCTTCAATCCCAGTATGTCACCGGTGTAGAATACAGCCGGTTGGAAAATTGAGAAAAGGAGTGAGTTGCGCAACATGCGTTCTGGAATCTTGGCAGAACACGACGGGTGACGCATCAACAGCCCCATCAATAACAAATTCACCTGGGCAAACAACCCAGCAGGATACTGATGATGTTGAAGATACTTTTGATTCACTCTCTTTTCTGGAAGACGATGTGCTTGACTCCATCTTAGAATTCGACGGTTTATTGATATCTTTATCCAGCGGGATTCCCGAGTTAGCAGACCTAAGTTCCCTGGAATTGCATCAATAAGGCACTAGACGAAAGAAATGTTGAGTGCGGCCAGGACAATATGCACAAAAAATATATAAAAAGCAATCGTATTCATTCCTCATTTCACTTAAGTGCGAGGGCCGCACATTCTTTCGTTTTCCCGTGGGAAAACCTCATTTTTTCCAGTCAAAACCAATTTCATTTTGTTTTTTCTAGTCAAAATGAATTTTATTTTCTCTAGTCAAAATCAATTTTTTTTCTCTAGTCGTAAAACTCACGTTTTTTTTTTGTCAAACCTTCGGTCAATAAGTTTTTTTGGAGGACCAAGGAAAAGCGGGTCCTGGCAACAATAGAAAGAAAAGTTGCCAGCCCACGAAAAAGGGGGACTAATTTACCCTGGGAAAGAAAATGACTCCGGCTGAAGTCACGAAAATCAGCCCCTTCCACCGCCATCACCTCCAAAAAAAACGATATAAAAACCCGAAAACCAGAGCTGGAAATCACTTTAGTTTCATAAACCAAACAACGAACATGGACACATACAACGTCGCAGCAGCCGCCAACGAACCGACCTGGACCTGCCGAACCAGGGTCTGGCCCAACGGGGCTTCCCAGGCACTCCAGCTGGAGTGTCTCCTCGGGGAGAACGAGATACCGGAGGTAGTCCTCCAATACTACCGAGGACTAACCACATACCAGGAGGAGGGTCAAGTACGGCCACCAACGCCGTACTCCCCGAGCTCACCCACTTCGGTGACCTCGGAGGACGAGGAGGAAGAGCAGGAGGAGCCCATCCCGGACTCCCCCAGGTCGCCATCGCCAGAGGCCCTGACCTCGGAGGACGAGGAGGAAGAGGAGGAGCCCATCCCGGACTCCCCCAGGTCGCCATCACCAGAGGCCCTGACCTCGGAGGATGAGGAGGACGAGTCCATCCCGGACTCCCCCAGGTCTCCATCCCCGGAGCCTGAACCCATGGAGGAGGATATTCTGGTGGTCTATACCGGACCACAAAGCGCCGTCGCCCAGCAGCCGGACGACAACGTTCACCTCGTCAGAGAGGTCCTCCGCCCATGGTTCCCCAGGGGGACCCGAACCGGGCCAGCCAGAAGGGACATCGAAATGATTACCATAGATTAAGAAAAATACATATATATATATTTAGGAAATAAGCTTTTGTAAACAGAATTTTTGTAAACCATAACGATAAGTTTTAGATTTAAAAAATACTTGTATTCTCAGTGTTTGGCCCCATTTTCAAAAAAAAAAAACCCAGGGGAAAATACATAAAAAAAAAAATATTTATGTTAATCATTAAAAAACAACCCCACCTCATATATATATATTTGTATAATGGTGCTTTCGGGGACCTTTTTTTGGACGTTCTTTTTTTGTATACATTAGTTCTTACAATGTTTATAAATCTATGTATGAATTACTATTCACTATATATACCTTCCTTCTCAAAAACAAACTCACTGGGACTTTCGAGGGCCGTCCTCAAAAATGCCATCGCATACATATTCTCGTATATAAATAGTCTTCGCTCTGGTATTTTCGAGGACGTCGAAATTTAGTTGAAAATCTTCATTGACGATTAAAGGTTAGAATTTCACATACTGGGAAATGGTTTGTGTTACATGCATTAATTTTTATCTTGCTCCGTATAGTGCAAGTTTTCTCTTGAAGCAATTTTTCCTCAAGACAAATTTTATTGAATATTTCATCGAGAAATTCCCATCGAGAAGTTCCCTCCTGCCTCTCAACAATTGAATTCAACGGCGTCCTCAAAACTACCTGTGCATGTATGAGTTCATATATATTGTGGTAGTTTTCAGGTCTTACTTTCTAAAGTATAGACCCTTTCGAGTACCACTCGTCTCTATTCAATCAGATGAGTTATCGATTGAACTGAATGACTCCTCTTTCAAAGTTATACTCATTATTTACGAAGAATTCTTTGAAAAGGCGTCAAAATCATGATTATTGACATGTGGAATTTTTGCAATGAAAGGACATGGATAAAAGAAAGCATGTGGTGAGCCATTTAAGACCTCGACATATTCAAATCTAGCACTATCATCAGCGAACATACCACCACCAGTCGTTTCTACTTTTGGCGGGATAAAATCTACCCTAACCTCCATCCGACAAATGTCGCGTGTCTCGCTTTCCGTACAATTATTCCCGTGTTATTAGTATTTTTCCAATAATGTCAAGTGTTACAGAGTGAGCAATGTTTAGCCTAATTTACGTAAACCAATACAGAGAGTATAGGGTAGTGCAAAGTATCAGACGGCGAAATAAATCGATCAAAGCTATTCTCATCTACGGTATGTATTGATTCAGCAATTCATCCATACAATTAATTGTTCATCTGTCATTTCATGTCATGTACGTAAAAACAATGCATCCTATTTGATTCCCAAGTAATGAATTACGTTTAATTATTTTCGTTTCATTACAGAGGATGAGGATAAGTTGAAAAAATTATGCCAAAACCTCAATCTCAGCTTACCACGAGTTTCGATTAACCCGTTCCAAACTGATGCCCATCAATGCGAATCTGTGGTAAGTGGATTGATAATAATTTTCATTTGTTGAATATTCGAGTCTTGGAAATCAAAAAGAATTATACGGAGTAGAGAAAACTGAATTCAACGGCGTCCTCAAATGTTCTTATACACATCAGACTTCATGTATGCTATATGTACTTTTGCGGTCCTATTTTCAAATGTATAGGTTCTTTTGAGGGCTTCTCGTCGTGAGTCAATCAGATGAACTATCCACTGTACTGAATGAATCCTCTCCCAAAGTAATGCTCTCCGAGTGATTCTCATTCTATTCGAGGTTTAGAATTTTCCGAACTAAATGAAAGAGCGTAATTAATATACCTAGACCCCATTTTTTGCAGAAATCTGGACTCACTGACATAATCATGAAGCTCTATCCTAGTTATTGTGATGAATGACTTTTCCCATACCGAACAAAATATTTCATAATAATGATGAATTTCAATGGTTTCTTGTTTAACAATGAAGACCACTTCCACCGGGGCCATTAACGGTCATAAATTAGCAGAAAATTAAAATAATTATCTTTAATTTTGCCGTTTCGAACACTATGCATGTTCCACATCAGGGCAATATTTATTTTTGTTAAAAATCGAAAAACAAAAATCAATCAGTCATACAAAAAGTTATTACAAATTATTAATTTAGAAACAAAAATATTAATCATCATAAACTAAGGAAATGTCCGCAAAATACCGGGTCATTCTAACCGCAACGAAGAAAATAAGAACTGCTACCATTTACATGCATTAAGATCTCTAATTCAAATGAAAAATATCCATAACTCAAAAAAAACGAATTTTATGTAATTTAAATTGAGGTATAAAACAATTATCAAGATTCAGAAAACGAGTGTTGTAAATAATTCGCTCATCAGCAATACTTAAATACATATTACTATTCATGCGGACCAGAAAGAACTTTTTATAAATTCTCACTAGAGTCAGTCAACAAACAATAATGGCGAAACTTCATATTTTCCCCTCTAAAACTACAATGAGTTAAACAAATCCGTCACTATAAAAGTTAATCAGTCACTATAAAAATTAATCAATCCATCATAAGAATCCCCTATCTTTTGACAATCACAAAGTTTACAGTCCTATTGTTAAATTGTTGAATATAAAACATTTCCAAATATCTAAATTATCTTTCCCACGAGTAGTTCCTAAATTTCTTTATTTATTGAAATCAAATTTATGCTTCGTGCTTTTAACATGAGCAGACGATCCTGAATGATATTTTTTTGGTTTATCTTCACTGTATTTATGAGCCTGTACGCTATTTTTAAAATAAAGTACCGTTTCACCAATATACAATTTATCATAATCACTACACGGTCTTTGATAGACCACGTGTGATTTTATGTCTATCATAGTTTTATCTGTAGTTGTGCCAAACTTCCTTTCTAACTTATTTTCATGAGTTGACATTACACTAATATCAAATTTAGAAAAACATGATTTGAGATTACCAGTCAATTGAGGATAAAAAGAAACAATTAGAGTCTTTTTAAAATTCATTGGAATATTCGTCTTGTTATTATGATTATCATGCAGTAAAAAATGAAGTCTGTTGTTCACAATGTCACTAATAAACCTAATGGGATAGTGATTGAAAACGCGCAACTTTTTTATGTAAGAAAAATTTGAGTTCCAGAATCGTCTATCAGAAATCTGAATTATTCTATCAATCAAATTAATAATAATGTTCCTTTTTTGGTACATAGGATGCATTGAAAATTCTACCAGAATATGTAGGTTTTTTATACCACTCAAAAATTAACGTGTCATTTGCCTCAATTATTAAAACATCAGGGAATGGTAATCTGTTATTTCGTTCAGTTTTTAGTACAGACTCTTCTAACTCAGCCATTACAAGGGCAGCACACACTCCCTTTGACCTTAATAATTGTTTTTTCCTTAATTTAAATCACATAAAATTAGTTTTTTTGTCTTATGGAGATTTTTCATTCGAATTAGAGATTTGAATACATTTAAATGGCAGCAATTTCTTATTTCCTTGTTGGACGTTAAAATGACCCGACATTTTTCTGGCGGTTCTTTAGTTTATGATGATTAATATTTTTGTTTCTGAATTAATAATTTGTAATAACTTTTTGTATGACAGATTGGTGTTTGTTTTTTGATTTTCAACAGAAATAAATATTGCTTTGATGAGGAACACGCTGTGTTCTGAACGTTGGCAAAATCAAAGATAATTATTTTAATTTTCTGCTAATTTATGACCGTTAATGACCCTGGTGGAAGTGGTATTCATTGTTCAAACCTATTTCACGTATGATGACATAAATAATTCACTTCCTGGATGTCATTATGATCACAATATCCAAACATTCATTTTCGTTCTCAGCATTCATATCTCAATATGTTACCAGTATTGCATATGAAATAGATTAGAATTCTTCTTTTCACTATCAGTCAGACAATTATATAAAATGCTAATGGAAAAAACAAATTCAGAAAGGTGAAAATAACTAACAAAAATGCAACAATTTCATTAGGATTTTCCCTTCAGTAAACGATTATTCACATCAGAATATTTCAAAATTCCTCCATTATTGTCGGGAAAATATTTGAATGAGGCATTCATATCTTTATGAGATTGTCGTCAAATCCTTGAAGAATATCCAATAATTTATTCTGATTCGGAGTTACTGAGCCGGGAAACCATACTTAACATATATTAAAGGATTAGTCAATGTCTGTTGATTCACAGGTCAGTTGATTTTACAGATCAATGGTGGACATGAAATGGAGAACATATTATCTCGTCGTAAACGGCCGAATGAAGAGGTCAACGTCAATATGGATCAGATAAAAAAAGGGAAGTTTACTTTGCTCGCTCCTGAAAAACATGAGCAAGAACAGTCACTCGAGGGGAACACTATAAACATAAATCTCAAAGTGTATGAGCTCTCAAAAGAATTATCTCTTGGGAACGGCAACGTGAAGGATAAGGAGAATAGTCACCATCATGAAATCATGGAAACTGTTCAAGTTCGTAAAATCGAGGACTTCATGAATGATACTCCCGGCCAGATGTCTTCGACTGCCTCGACCATTGAGAATGAGTCTCTTCATGACGATCAATCAAATAGCAATAAAATCCTTCCCTCCAATCATCTTCCGAATCATCATGGTGGTGACATGGATAAAAACGGAAATCGATTAAGCAGCACCATCATTGAAGTGATCGATATTTCGATGAAAAACGATCTTTCATCTGTCGAGACTATCCGATCAGGTGTCCCCATTCCAACATTTATACCAAAAAGAATTAATACTGCAATAGATCAAGAGGTATTCGAGTCATTACTATTCTATCCTAACATGAATTCGAAGTCATACATCGTATTCTCTCCTAAATAGTGAAAGAATGAATTAGAGTACGTGATTGCCCATGGCCCACTGAGCAGCAAGAAACAGTTGTGCTCCCACTTTTTTCCTCTACATTCACCTTTCTTTCCCGTTTTTCGATTAAGTTTTTCAACATAGAATATTGGTACGAAATAACTATTCTTAAATATATATAAACTAGATTTCA